GTTGGAACATATGCTTAGTAATGACAGTAGACCATTGAAGAGTTCTAAAAATAGTCATTTGTCCAACTTCCCTCAAATGTATTTTTCTTAATTCTTTTTCTATTCATATCAAATATGTTCCCTCATCCCTCTTAATGGTATAAGCAATGTTTCACTACTGTAACATGACATTAATTTCAACTTCAATTAAACAACTCTATTTCCAAATATTAAAAATTCAAGATATATATATATTTCAAAGTAGCTAATAGGTTAAATTTCAAATGTCTCACCACAAAAAAAGAGTGATGTGATTAATATAGTAATTAGCTTCATTTAATATTTTCCACATTGTAGATATATAGTAAAACATCACAGTGTAACCCATAAATGTATACAATTGTAGTTTATCAATTGCAAATGATATTAATTTTTCAAATTAAGGTTACCTGTTGCTAAGTCTTTGTGACTACTTGCTATTTTAAAGAGAATTGGAACTAGACCTAGAGGGAAATAAGTTATGATTCCTTTAGATGTGAAACAAGTCAAATAATTCAGTATTCACAAATATGTTTCATCTTTCTCAGCCAAGAAATGAATATATAAGGCAAGCTGCTAAAAATATGCCATTTGTTAGAGAGTACTATTTTTCACTATAGAATGACTAACATAACAAAATACCACCTACTTAGATTCATCAGAAAGCTTCCTACACTGCAGCAAGCTTGACTTCCCTGAGCTGAGTGTCCTATTGATGAAACAAACCAAAAAAAAAAAAGAAAAAAATTAGAATTCTTCTCAGTGCCAACTCTCTTATTTGATTGAAATTGTACATGAATGTACTACGACACTACTTTAAGACCTCAGCATTTTTAAAATCAATCTCTTGTTTAAATACCTATGTTTTTTTTGTTTTGTTTTCTTTTTTTTTTTTTTTTTTTTTTTTTTGCTGTATTATCATTTCTCACCCATACAATACTTTCTTAATGACCTAATTATATTATTCAGGGAAGGTTTTTCCTCACCTATCTAGGGCAAGATTCAGGTTCTTGGTAGATGAAATGTTGGTTAAATTAAACAGAAAAATGAAGCAACAGTGACGGGACTACATTTAATTAACTCAAATAAGTAAGATTATCCCTATTGAAAAGTTGTTTGATGTGTCTCAAGATTAACTATGTAGTTTGTAATTTTTGTAACCTGCAAAATAATTCCGAAAATATTCCAGAAGCACACTGTTCATGTTCTGCAAATAGCAGAAAAAAAACTAATTTAACTTCCAGCCAGTCAGCCCACTAACAGAACAATCCTGACAGATAAATAAATAAAAGCTGGGATCTAACATGACTGCAAAACATTATACTACACTCATGATGTATATTTTTGATCTCAAAGCAAGTAACAATTATCCACAAATACATTCTTAGCATCTGAAAGCATAACTTAATTGCCAATTAATACAGGTGAATTAGTACCCATATTTTAAAAGATGAGTAAAAGAATCAACAAAGTCATAGACTTTATCATAACCGTTTATTCAGCCTCAAAGTCTCTTCTGAGTAAATTTTACATAAAGCAAATTTTAAAGGGTCCGCTCTAAAACTTAGTCGTCTCCTTGCCAGTACCTAAGATCAGTAGTTTAAAACAGAGCAACTACAGAGCTAAAATAAAGGCTAAAGCTAGCATTTAAATCTCAACTGCTAAAAGGCACCCAGTACTCTGTAACTCAGATACTCCAGGATGGATGGAGCTTTTTCTAACATCAATATTCATTAACACCCACATTTCCAAAGCAGCAACCCATATTTTGGATTGTTTGATGTCGTTTCTTCTTTAAACTAAACACCAGGGCAAAATCCAGAGTAAAGTTTATACATTCATTGGACAGAGAAACAGAGATCAAAGGGAAAAGAACACACATATTCTTTGGATGAGAACTCTCTCCCTTTTCTTGATGTGTTTCATCAGGAGTTTGTGGGCAGAATAGAAGATGAAACATACTTACCTTCATTAGCAAGTTTTACACACTTAACTATATTTCAGTTTTCCATCAAATAAACACTTTAATATGCATATTGTTTAGTTGTAATAATGGCAGCAATAGCTTAACAATTAGAGCTTATCTTTAGTTTAAAAGTTTGCAAAAGAAAACACTATTTACACCGTACAGTACATTTAAAAAAAATCAATGTTTGCACACCCAGCACAGCAAAAAATTAAAAAATTGTTAAAATCTCAAAGAGAAAATAGTTTATCCCAAATAAAGATAAATTATCAGAATCTTTCTTTCTTAAAACCTGAGGTAAGCAGCTTCACCTAACAATGACACTAATCATCTAAAACTAAGCTAAACTGTATTTTTATAGTATTATGTACATTTATTTATGTATTCAACCCCAGTAAACTTTTTTTGTGTATTTAAAGCATCATAAAAACCAAAGTTCTGTGTGGATGTGTCTTAATGTAAGCATTATTAGATCATAGGAAAAGTCAAAACATGCAAATAATGCCAAAAACAAGTATCCTAGCTTTTCTCTTCCCTCTCTCCCCTGATCACCCTGGGAGGCTCTTCAGCAAGAAGCCGCCAGAGACTTACTTGAACTGGAAAGTCTAGAAAACCAAGCCAAGCAACTCTGCTGAAAAGAAGAAATCTAGACAAGTGATTCCACGTGCACTGCATTCATCTCTACAAAGTGTATGTATTTCAGAAGTATTCCACAGCCTTCGTATTCCACAAGTGTAGTCAAAACTGACAACACAAATTTATTCCCCAAACTGCAGGATCTCAAACATTTTCTAATAAGGCTTGACGACATCTCCTCACTTGCCAGTTTTGACTCTCAGAAGTAGCTTGTCCTTGACATAATTTCTCAACAACCTCAATAGATACTTGTATCTAACATGCCTTCCTTTCTTCCCAGTCATTGCCAACACACCACCACATGCCCAAGCCTTTCCAGTTCCCTACCCTCTGCTGCCAGGGCACTGAGCTCAGTACACTCTGATTATGAGGATCTGCTGGATTATCTGTGCGGGAATAGTGACATTAAGCTGAGATCTTCTACTAATACTAGACAGAAGTTTCCCCAGTGGGTTTGCTCTTCTGCTGATTTTAACAACATTGCAGTGGCACTGGGGTTCAGACTGGGGTAAGTTAGGAAACTAAAGCGATTTCAGGGGAAAGAATCACCCCAAATCATTTTTCCCTTCAATTTTTCTTAAGAAAACGCTCTCTTCTGTGTCATACCCTAAAGTTAACCAAAAAATAATCTGGATACTCAACCTCTGCATAAAATACAGATCCACAGTCATTTTCATACATTCTTTTTCGCATCTCAAATAAAATCCACCCCTTCATCCCAAGAAGGGTGCTTGGGAAAAAGAAGTAGGGAATCTTTGCAAACATAAAGGCAATGTGTCCTATGGGAGTAGAGCAGAGAGATAAGAGGAAACTTCTAGTCCAGGCCAAGGTCTACTGACTACGACCTTGGCAAAAACACAGAAACTTGTTGTTGGCCAACTTTAAATGAAGCATGAAATCTGCCTCCTCCCTACTTCCCTTTCCCCAAGGAACTCAGTCTCAGGTGGAAGTGGTGTTCTAGGTCTTCTGACTGTCCTCCCTCCGCCCTGGACTGCATCTACAATCAGTGGCAGGGTGATTCTAGCAGGTTCCACTGTTCTCTGTCCCTCTTTCCTTCCGCGTCTATGCCATCTGGGGAGCCCGGAGAACTGGGCTACTGCATGCTCCCTGGCCAGGGCACAGGACAGGCTGCAGATAGAGGCTTTGGAGCTCTGCAAGGGATTTTGCAGCCTGCCTAGCTTGTGGGACAAACCCATTTCCTTGACATTTCAGGGCAAACCTCTACTCATTTCTCCAGCGGATGGGGGGTGCTTAGACCTTCTCACTGATCAAAGAAGCCAGAATCCATGTGAACCTCTGAAATAGTAGAGCGTACCAAATGCCTAGGGGTAAAGAAGGGTGGAGGATTTCAATAAAAGAGGTGCTCCCAGTGTCGCCCCCTTTCCCGCTTTTTCGTTTACAATGAGCGGGACATTTAAAGTATTTTGTGGTTTGTTGGTTTTTTAAAGTTTTTGTTTATTGTTTCTATACATATACATTTTTTTTTCTTGAAGGGAAGCAGGCAGCGGTGCCCATAGGCAGAGGGGCGCGTTGTCAGCCCGGATGCTCCCGCCGGGAAGGCCCTCGCGGCGGAGGAGGGGACCCCAGAGGGAGAGGGCGCGGCAAGGGGACCCTGCGGAGCGGCGGGGGCGGGGGGCTCCAGGCGGGTCGGGGACCGAGTGCTGCCGGAGCCCCGCAGATGCCGCCCCTACCAGCCTGGCTCCCGCCTCCCCGCCCCAGTCACCCGACCTGCTCCCGCGCCTGGGGCTGGGGCAGGCTGGTCGTCCCCGGCAGCGGGGGACCCTCTCCAGCCCCAGCACTGCAACTGCGTGGAGGAAACCGTGCCCGCGGGCGGTGGGGGGGAAAGGGGGTCTCACGAAGTTCTGGGATAAAAACGGGCTGTCGCTGCAGATGCCTCTGTCACGCGAATCTGGGAGCGGAAATGCACTGTCCTCGTGCCGGGCGGGGGCACAGGCGGGATCGGAGCCGGGGAGAGGAGGCAAAGTGGCGGCGCAGCTCGGACAACTTTCCTGGGAAAGCAGGTGACAGTCGGCAGAGCTGGTGCCGCTGCCTCCCCGGGGAGACGAGTCAGCACGAGGCGCAGGGTCTGCACCCCAAATGCTGCCGTCACGGACCAGGAGGAGGACGGGGTGGCCGCTGGCGGGACGAGCAGGCGGGGAGGGCGCCCAGCCCCGGAGTGCAGCCGGGCTCGGGAGAGCCGCCCTCCGTGTCCTCGGCCCCAGGAGGGGCGCCTGCGCCCGGGTGCGCGTCCCCCCAACGCCCCCTCGCCGTCCCGCGGGACCACCAACTACTCCGCGCCGCTAGAGGAGCCGCGGGAAGGAGAGGGGAGAGCCGGGAGCGCCGAGAAGCGGCCGCGACGCCCGCCCGGACCCGCACGTACCTTGAGCTCCTCAATGTCCAGGTTCGTTGATCTGTCCATGGAGTGCAACTAAACGAAGTGGAGAGGAACCGGGCGAGTGGCACCCAAACACAATCTAGTCTTTTAGTTTCCAGCTTAAACTCAGCTTTATCCTCCTCCAAGCCCCGGCAGCTCCTCTCAGTCTCATTCTTCGTGGTCACGCCGCCTCCACCGGGTTAAAAATAAGGAAAATAAATAAATAATAATAATTCACTTTGTTTTACTTCCTCAAAGATTTAGTGACAGGTGATCTGTACCGCGGTGCAACGCAGCTGAGTCGATTGAAACAGGGGCCAAAAGAAAAAAGGAAAAAGATATCCACTCTATTTAAGATTTCTTCTTCTGCAATAAGCTTAGAAACCAGCGAATTGCTGCATCCCGAGAAAAAAAGCTGCTTCCCTGGTCAGCATCATGCGGCAAATTTCAAGCAAATGTGTTCAAACTGAAGAGAAGAGTGTATGATAAAAGCCTTCCTCCGTCAGGCTTACTCTGGTAGCTAATTTAGCTCCAGTCCCAGGCATTAGCAATGATCAATTTCCCTGGCAAGATAACAGAATCCCCGAAGTCCTGCATAGACTTAAAATATGTCTTGTAGCTGAGAGGTATTTTCTCAGTGGGGAAAAGAAGATAATCAAGTCAGAAGGGAACGTTCTCCTTTGAAGGTTATGCTAAAAGAGTTGAGAGAATAGGAGGTGGATCCTACGGAGAGAAAAGAGGGAGAGAAAGAGACAGAGGGAGAGAAAAATTTTCCTCCTGCTTCGCTGTTTTACTGGCCTTCACCACCAGGTGACTGACTTCGCTTCTCTCTTCCCACAGCCGACACTGAGGGGATTTCTCTCATCTGTCAAAAAGCAACATTTCCTCTCCAGACAAATACTATCGCTGGGTCTTAAAGACTGCCCTCTGTCCGGAATCCACTAGGTGACAAGCATTTTAATTCATTGCGTACGTTGCTTCATCTTCTTCCTGCAGATCTGGGAGGAACATGCCTGTGTGTATCATCCACATGTATTTAAATATATTCACTTTAGATCTCTCCTGCTTTCAGCATCAGATTTTTTAATTTAAAAAAGACTTTTAAAGACAGTGACAGATAAGAATATTAAAGGAAATTTCCTGGAATGATGCTTTTTATGATAAAGCAGTCTTTTATTAGAAAATTGTTCTTTACATAGATTCTGATGGGTCAGTGCATTTAACTTGTAGGTTGTAGATTTGGGGAAAGGGTTCGTTTTCTTTTAAATGTCTCTGTAAAAATTTGACTTTTGAAGGGTTTTAAAGATTTTTGTTTTATTATGACACACAAACTATTGAGACTTAAAGATGTTTACAGATTTGGAAAAGGAGCTGTATAATTTTGTTTCTTTAAAAAAAAAAAAAGTCTTTCTTTTTTTAGGATTTAAATATACACATTCCAGTCTCATGGTCTCAGCTCTACCATCATCTCCGTCCTCTCCCTCCCTGAATTCCAGCCACCTGGTCTACTGGTCCACCTGCCAGTACTGGCTCTTTAATTCCCAATCTTGCACCCTCGTTAAGGACAGCTGTCTCTCCCCACAGTTCTTTATAGGTTTCACATTTATGCTTCTGACTGAAGTCACCTGAGCAGAGAAAAATTTTCCTCAGGTGAGTCTCTCAGATATTCTCCTTTATCCTCTTGTCGTAGCAGCATTGTTAATTTATCATTATTTAATGTATGCCATTATTATCCATTTGTTTGTATGACTCCTCCAGTAGACTATAAACTCTTGAAGGCATGTTCTGGATCATTCTTATTCACCAAAATGTCCCAAGAGCCTAGCAGCTAATAAGCACACAAATGTGCATGGAACAGATAAATATGTGGAAAGAAACCTTTACAGTTAGTACTCTAAGGTCTGAAACCCTAATGACTCCCTCCTCCCCTCCGCAGCACCAATGGGGCACATCCCAGTTTTTCTCCTTCTACTTTCCAGCTAAGCCTGGAGGGCTCAGCTTTCTCATGCAGCATGCCCAGTTTGTTAGTTTAAGCCTAGTCTATTCCATGCACTTGTCTAAGCTATCTTTCTTTTATACCTTGACTTGTGACTACAGCTTTTAAGGTTAACATCAAGTAGCCAAAAGTCCATAATGAGTAGGGCCAAACATCAAATCTCATAATAAACTTCACGTACTTATAAGACATAATATTTTGCATAATATATGATGAAAAATAATAAAAGTTCAGGTTGAGAATAGATGAAGTTATATAAAACTTTCAACTCTAAAAAAGAGCTTCTCTTCTAGAAAGTATCAACAATTCAACATGAATAAAGATAACTACTAGGATGATGCAAAAGTAATGGCAGTTTTTGCCACCGAATGGCAGAAACCACAATAACTTTTGCACCAACCTAATACATAGGTTTTCGAAAGTCAGGTCTTTCCATGTGAAATAATTTGAAATTCCCTGTCAACTAGTCATTGCCTAACTTTAGAAAATGGAATAAAACAAGCAAATTTATTTTCAACATGTTAGCAAAGTGATATTATTTAAGGTAAGTTTTCAATTTGCAGTTGTGACAATGTAGTTCCAGGAAGGTATCCATTAAAATGTTGATATTTAAATATTATTCAGAAAGGGAAAACTGCAGATAGTTTCTTAATATGACATATTATAGTTGAAAGAAAAAATGATATTGTTCTTAACAATTTTATGTGTGTGTGTGTGTGTGTATATATATATATATATAATGACTAGCTTTAGTGAATTTTTTTTTTTTTTTTTTTTTTTGAGACGGAGTCTCCCTCTGTCGGCCAGGCTGGAGTGCAGTGGCGTGATCTTAGCTCACTGCAACCTCCACCTCCCAGGTTCACGCCATTCTCCTGCCTCAGCCTCCCAAGTAGCTGGGACTACAGGCGCCCACCATCGCCCCCGGCTAATTTTTTGTATTTTTAGTAGAGACGGGGTTTCACCGTGTTAGCCAGGATGGTCTTGATCTCCTGACCTCGTGATCCGCCCACTTAAGCCTCCCAAAAGTGCTGGGATTTACAGGCGTGAGCCAGCACGCCAGGCTTATCTTTAGTGAATTTTAAACTATGAAATTATATCCAACATTTGATGTTGACCAGACTGACATTATAAGCCAATGGTCCCCAGCTGATATGGCTTCTGGGTCCCTACATAAATCTCATCTTGAATTTTCCCTCCCATAATTCCCACATGTTGCGGGAGGGAACTAGTGAGAGATAATTGAATCTTTGCGGTGGTTTCCCCTATGCTGTTCTTCTGGTAGTGAATAATTCTCACAAGATCTGGCGGTTTTATAAGGGGAAACCCCTTTTGCTTGGTTCCCATTCTCTCTTACCGCCACCGGGTAAGAAGCGCCTCTCGCTTTCCGCCATGATTGTGAGGCCTCCCCAGCCACGCAGAACTGTGAGTCCATTACACCTCTTTTTCTTTATACATGACCCAGTCTCGGTTATGTCTTTATCATCAGTGTAAAAACGAACTAATACACCAACGATTTTGGCACCAGGGACCGTTTTCATGGAAGACAATTTTTCCACAGACGCATGGCAGAGGATACAGGGGATGGTTTCGGGATGAGACTGTTCCACCTCAGATCATCAGGCATTAGTTAAATTTTCATAAGGAGTGCACAACCTAGATCCTTCGCGTGCACAGTTCACAATAGGGGGTGCTGCCATGAGAATCTAATGCCCCCACTGATCTGATAGCAGGCAGATCTCAGGTGGTACTGCTTGCAAACCTACCCACCACTCACCTCCTGCTGTGTGGCCTGGTTCCTAACAGGCCACAGATGGCCAGGGGCTTAGGAGACCCCAGACATAAGCTCTAGAAACAATTAGTGATTTCCAAATCAGTTCCGTATTTGTGTGCAATTACATGTCTATAAAGCGAGTGATTTCCAAGTCCTTCACTATTTCATGAATTCCCATGCCAACTCATCAGGCTGAATATTTCTAAAACCAAAAAAAAATTAGAGTTGATCACAAAAGTATGAGTTGCTAAAACAGATTTATATAACCTTTTAAGACAATCAGGACTCAATTCCACTTCATATGACATACGACTAGATGGGACAACTTTCAGAAAATTGAATCATCGTAAAGACATTTGAAATGAAGGCAATAGAAGGATGAGGAAGTGAATTGAGGAAAGGAACATTTTCTAGATGTCCTGAGTCACAACTTCAGGACAAAGACAGTTACCCACGGCTATGGAGGAAATTGTGCTTGCATATAGTAGAGTATGTGAAAGGGGCAAGATTCAATTTTAACAAAGATGTACAATTCACAGGCAACCCGCAAGAGCGATTACAACTCCTGAGCAAGGGGAAGGCAGTGTGGAAACACCTGCAGGTCATGAGATGTTACATTTCAGGATCATTCGTGCCTTAGATACATTCATCGATGTCGCCTACCATCATAAAGTATTAGAGCAAACGTACCCCTGCCTTTATGAGCTTTTTTTCTTTAACTGATTTACAGAAATGGGGAACTTCTAAATACATATCCTTTTTTCCAGTAGACAATATAATTTTTAATAATCACTATGGCTTAAAAGCACTGGAAGAGTTTTAAATTTTGTAGGCCTTTTTACTCCCCTTGTCTCTCTTGCCAAGTTTACAATTTTATGCATTTATGTGGATTTCCATACTGCACTACATCACATGACCATATTTTATTTCTATTTTCTGAAATTATTAAACAGAGAATTAATGTATCATGATTCATTAAAATAAAGTAATAACTAATTCACATAGTTGTCACCAGTTTATTTCTAGTGATTAGCATTTGTATCCTCCATATGATCTAAATTCTTGCCTCAGAAAGGGATAATTTCTCAGAAATGTTACTATATATTCCATGAGGTTTTTAAAATTACTAAAAAATGCTGAAATACAAATTATTGAGTTTTTACTTTTAATGAGTAAGATATGTAATTGTTAATATGTGAACAGATGAGGAAACACAAATGAGCCATTAATATTGTGATATAGTTATAAAGGGTATCCTTTGGCCTTTCAAAAAAAAAATACCACCTGTTACACAGATGTACTTTTTTCTTTTAAAAATGTTGAAATTAAATTTTAAAAAATTCTGTTAACCTTCAACCCAGATCATGCTTCAACTAAGAAAAATAAAGAAAAGAAAAATAAGATTAGTACCTCAGAGACAAGAGAGGGTAAATTATGAAAAGAATAAAAGGATGCAGACATGCCTGCTTGCAGCCAAAAATAAGTCAGAATGTGAAATTTAAGTTTCCAAAAATTTGAAACTGGAAGCATTTCTCTCTTTCCTTTATAAATTTAATGGACAAAAATATTGGCAAATGTATATTTTTAGTTAAAAATTTTAACCAGCTACTTAGCCATATATGATTTCGAAGGCAGTTCAGGCATGAGAATACATATGCTTTGTATAGCATAGATTATAGTGGTCTGCAAAAGATAATGAGGATCTGTTTTGCAGAATTTAAAGAGAATAGTGATTAATACTTCCAGTCTTAGAAGCATCAAAAAAAAAAAACCCTTTATTTATTTATTTATTTATTTATTGAGACAGAGTCTCGCTCTGTTGCCAGGTTGGAGTACAGTGGTGTGATCTCGGCTCACTGCAACTTCCACCTCCAGTGTTCAAACGATTATCCTGCCTCAGCCTCCTGAGTAGCTGGGACTTCAGGCATGTGCCACCATGCCAGCTACTTTTTGTATTTTTAGTAGAGACGGCATTTCACCATGTTGGCCAGGATGGCCTCGATCTCTTGACCTTTTGATCCTCCCGCCTTGGCCTCCCAAAGTGCTGGGATTGCAGACGTGAGCCACCATGCCTGGTCAAAAACCACTATTTATTGGAGTTCACAGTCATGAACATTGCTAATTATAGTTTGAAGATTTAACACCCCCGCCCCCACCCCGAGAAAAGCTAAACTTCCTGCAGATTATAAGAACAAATCTACACACAGACTGCAAATAGCGTGATGGAAACTTGAATTAAAGCTAACAAGAAATGCATAGCAGTTAGGCTACAACACGGTAATAAAACGAAAGAGAAACATGCAGCCCACATCATAAAGCATCACATTGCAAATTTATAAGCACAAATAGGAAAAAATTGTCAAATGTCCAGAAATATTTAGCTCTAAAACTCCGAGCATACACCAAATAAAATACACCTCTAAAGAATTTTTATGCACCTTCAGGTGAAGAACTTTACTATTAGACCAGCCTGGCCAACATGGCGAAACCCCGTCTCTACTAAAAATACAAAAAAAAAAAGCCAGGTATGGTGGCACACGCCTGTAGTCCTAGCTACTTGGTAGGCTGAGGCAGGAGAATCGCTTGAACCCGGGAGACGGAGGTTGCAGTAAGCCAAGATCACACCACTGCACTCCAACCTGGGTGACAGAGTGAGACTCATCTCAATAAAATAATAATAATAATAATAGTGGGCCTGGAACTGTGGCTCATGCCAGTAATCCCAGCACTTTAGGAGGCTGAGGCAGGTGGATCACTTGAGGTCAGGAGTTCAAGACCAGCCTGGCCAGCATAGTGAAACCGTATCTCTACTTAAAAAAAAAAAAAAAAAGCTGGGCATGGTGGCAGGTGCCTGTAATCCCAGCTACTGGGGAGGCTGAGGCAAGAGGATCACTTCAACCTGGGAAGCAGAGGTTGCAGTGAGTCGAGGTCATGCCACTACACTCCAGCCTGGGCAACAGAACAAGACGGTCTCAAAAAAAAAAAAAAAAAAAAAGTCAAACCAAAAAACAGCAACAAAAAATTGTGACCTTACTATAAGAAAAAAGGAAAGCTTTTTTATACCATTTTCATACTGACGGTATAAGTTGGCTCATTTCTGTTTAATATCAGCTCGATTATTCAGCAAAATTAATCTCTATAATAGGCTTAATATTAATTTTTTTTGAGACAAGAGTCTCGCTCTGTCTCCAGGCTGGAGCGCAGTGGCGCAATGTCAGCTAACTGCAACCTCTGCCTCCCAGGTTCAAGCGATTCTCCTGCCTCAGTCTCCTGAGTAACTGAGATTACAGGTGCTTGCCACCACGCCCAGGTAATTTTTTTTATTTTTAGTAGAAACAGGGTTTTGCCATATTTTCCAGAGTGCTGTCGAACTCCTGACCTCAGGAGATCCACCCATCTCAGCCTCCCAAAGTGCTGGGATTACAGGCATGAGCCACTGGAGTTTTTTAAACTAAGCTTTTGAAAGGAAAGTTACTTTTCTGGGAATATTTTTTTTTATTTTAGCAGAAGAACCTAAAACTGTTATATCATCCCCCAACACGTGCAGAAATGATAAACCAATGCAATAACAACAATAAAACCTTTATGAACTGTAAGCCTTTCCACGGGTTCTACTGGCATCAGTCCTGCAAGAAATGGAGTAGAAGGAGGGGCAGGACTGAGAGATGAAGACAGAGGGGAAAAAACTGTAATTGATTCTAAAAGAAAGATCTTAATAGCCAGGAAGAACTGAAAGTAGTATTGGCTTTGAGTGGAGTATTTTTGCAGCAGCAAAAATAAAATCTAGGGAATTTGTAAGAAAAATACTTAAGGCGATTAAATTCTAAAACAGTACTCTTACTTTCAGCTGTCTTCTATTTTGGAAATTTTCCTAGTCTGAGGATGACAATGAATGATAGCATAAAACAGAAAATGGGCCGGGCACGGTTGCTCACGCCTGTAAT